GCAGCCGAGCCTCGGTGGTTCCTTTGCACATTTTTGGAACGAGCCCCCTCTTCCGCCCACGCACACAGCAATTTGCAGCTGATCGGAACTTGGATGTTTCTCTTGGAAACTCCTTTTGATCAGGGTGATCAATGTACAATATGGAGGTGGGTCAAGAATGTGGTTCTCCTCTTTGCAAACAGGTTCTTGGCCAATTCCATGTTTGTTGTGGTTGCTTCTCGCCCGAACAAAAACAAGGGTCGCTCAAACAACATGTGTTTTGACCGACTACATACAAAGGTGCCCTGCCCAGTGCCATGCCCAGTGCCCTGCCGCTATTCTCAGTATGCATGATGACCCCCAATAAGGCGTGTCTCAGTCTGGAAACACGTCTCCGACGCCGAGCCCCCGGCCCCAGCCGATCAGGTCCGTTTGTCAGGCCCCAGCCTCGGCTTCGGCTGGGTGGCCATCTTAAATGCCGCTTTGGGTTTCTTTTCGGCCTTTTGTGTCTTCCCTTTGTTGAACCGACGTGGAAGGTTATGACTTGGGCAGCGATTCTTCGCCGGAACGCCCCATGGCGGAGACTTCCCTTGGGAGGTGCGCAGGACTTCGAGTGCTTCCCAACGGGATCATCGAACACTGTGCGCAGGACTTCGAAGAAAAACTGAGCTTCTTAGAGATCAACGTGGATCGGAGGGTGATCACTGCAGCCTCTGCTCCGTGTTCTGACCTGGTTGGCCAAAAGTTGGAGGAGGTGTTCCCAAATGAATTCACCTGGCAGATTGTCTGTGGCATTTGTGATGAAGCCAAAGGCTTCATGGCCACAGCTGTTCCCAAAGCTTTGCCCGACCAAGTGGCGGCCTTCAACGAAATGCCCATGTGCTTCGGCACACGTGTCGTGGGGATTTCTGGACTCATGCGAGTCTGGCTGACAGAGGCGAGGCAATTTCGTGTGGTCTTGAGTTTTGCCCTGCCGAAAGCGAACTCAGTGTCACTCTAAAGCAAGCTCAGTAGATGAGAAAAAGGAGCCTCAGGGACCATGGGACCATGAGCCTTTACATATATGTTTAATGCTTGGTTGTGACAGTGCACATTCCTGCATTCCAACTATGCATTTAAAGACTTGAACGTTTCCAGCTGTATGTTCCCCAGTAGTTGATTCAATTATGCGGTTGTCTTTGAAGGCTCAAATAAACCAAGAACAACTCCATGGCCAAGGCTGAGGCCGTTGTAGTAGAATTGTCAAAGGAAGTTTAGTGTACAAAACTTCCGTGTTACGGACATTCAAGAACTGTTCATACACCACTCATCAATACACCACTCATCATACACCACTCATCATACACCACTCATCATACACCACTTATCATACACCACTCATCAATACACCACTCATCAATACACCACTCATCATACACCACTCATCATACACCACTCATCATACACCACTCATCATACACCACTCATCATACACCACTCATCATACACCACTCATCATACACCACTCATCATACA